CCCCCCCCCGCACCACCACGGAAAGAGCGCCAGCACCCTGCGGCTCCCGGCGAAAATCCCCACCGGGGTCTAGTGCTGGTCACAGACTGCGGCGGGCCCCGGAGACCCGGGCAGGTGAGGGACCTAAAGCAGCCCCCGCCGCGCCTCTCGGGCTCCCCTCTCGGGCATCTTGACACATCCCTCCCCCCTCCCCCCATCACCACCCCCTCCGCCGCCTTTCGAATCACCTTTACGCCTCTGAACACACACGCCACATTAAGCACCTCCAAGCATAACCATGGCGGTGTGGCTCCCCGCGACCCCTGGGGCCTTCTGGGGTATTGTTGCACTGCCGACCACCGTTGGTGCTCTTTTGGCTCATGTGGCCTGGCGGCCGGCCGATTCGGAGGCTCCAGCCGACCATGTCCTGCCGGAGGCCTGTACCGCCCTGGCACGCGTCCTCCTGGCCACGGGCCTGCTCATGGCGCAGTTCCTTTTGACGCCGGTCTTGCGGCCAGATACCCAACTCTGGATGAGGCCCTTCCTCTGGTGGGCCATTGGCATGGCTGGGCTCGGGGCAATTCTGGCCGCCGATCGCGCGGTCGCCTGCTCTCTCCAGGCCATCGGGTATTGCCTGCCGGCCGGCGTGTCTACCGAGGAGGCCGGCGCGCGCCGCGACTCCCAAGCGCTGGCAGCGGCGCACCAGCCGCCGTCGCCCAGCAAGACCCTCCCCTCCGAGACTGTCACCCCCGCCAAACCGACCGCCCAACAGGGCTCGGCGCTGCGCGGAGCGGGCAGTCCCGCCGGCCGGTCGGGTCGGCCTCGGCCTCCTCTTTCTCCCATCCGCACCCCCTCGACCGATGTGTCTCCAGATGACTCCCTTGCGCAGTTGACGCTGGATTCTTTGCAGGCCGGCCCGGAGACGCCCCTCGGCCCGGAGGACACTCCAGCCGAGGAGGAGGAGGAGGATGGCCTGATGTCTGGGACTCCGGTGGATGGGAGTTTCCCCCGCCATGGGATCCCCGGCGAACGGGCTACCCCGCATCCCGGCATGGGGACCCCGGTCCGGCCGCGTCCAGGCCCCAAAGCAGCCGGAGGCACAGTTGTCCGGAGTGCGGCGCCGCCGCCGCCGCCGACTCCGGCCCCGGGGGATGGCCACACAGACCCCCTGAGCCCCTTCGACTTGCTGGCCGGCGAGGCCTCACAGGGCGAGCCCACCACTCCAAACACACTGACTCCCTCGGGCGGCATGGCGGCCAGTCCGGCACGCAGGTCCAAAGGCCGCCAGCGTAAGGCCATCACCCAAGACACCTTCAAGCGGCCGCGGTGAGTACATTCCGTCGTGCTTCCTTTTTTTTTTCTCCTCACGACACATGTGCGCACGCGCCAATACACCCAAACTTTAGATGGCAAAGGAGGAGAAGAAAAGACCGGCTGCCGGTCGGGAGAGCTGGCAAAGTCACCATCCGACCCCGTGGCCCTGGCGTGCATGCAGGCACGCACGCCAAACATGCAAACACCATCACTTAGCTGCATGGGTAAATACGCTCAAATAATCCAAGGGGATTGTCTATAGTACAAGGAACACGTCCAGATGAGGGAAAAGGCAGGGGGGGGGGGAGGGGGAAGGACTCGGACTGTGGGGAAACAAAGGAGCGGAAGAGGGGGGACTGCAAGGACATATGGCATGCTGGCCGAGCACCGGCAGCTGCACATGGATATACGCGCTAGATGGCATTCCTTCTCGTCAGGTAATCGAAGCGCTTGTACGTGTAGCCGACGAAGGGTAGATCCGTGAGAGCCGGAGAAAGGACTGTCGGTGGAAGGAGAGGCAGGTCAGCGCCATGGCGTCAGCGCGATGAGGGAAGGAGATGGAACAAATGCACGAGCGAGGAAGGGAAGGAGGGAGGAAGCAAGAGGAAGGCACGTCTGGCCAGGAGGGCGCCCCGCGAAGGGGTGTCCCCGCATGACCGACAAATACGCACAGCCGTCTGACCCGTCGTCGAAGGAGGAGAAGCCCGGATGGAAGGAGGTGTCCAAGTTGTCCGGCACATCAACCAACTCATCGGTCGGGAAGTAGGACGTGTCGGTGATGGACCGGAGCACTGGCACGAATGGCGGGGTCTGCCGGCGGATTGACTGCCAGCAGACACCTCGGAAAAAGGGGTGTGCCTTGATGTCATCCACGCCGTTGGTCCCGAGGCGGGTTTCCGCATCACGAATGAACCTGCCACAACACATGGCACCCAAAGCCGCAGAGGGGGATACAGCCATAAAAGCGAGTCAGTAGCGGCAGAAAGACCAAACAAACGCCACGAGTCAAGTGCAAAGGGCAAAGCACACACCCCCGAATGAGGTCCTCTGCTTCGAGCGAGATCTCCACGTCGTCCGGGAACCTGAGCGTCTGTCGCCAATTGACGATCTTCTTGTAGGTGTCATGTGAGGTCTCCGCGCAGAAGGCCGGGTATCCTGATTATTGCCGGGGAGGAGAAGGAGAGAGAGAGAGAGATTGGGAAAAGGAGGAGGTAAGCCACGGGGAGGGGGAGAGGGTGGAATCGGGAGAAAGGCACATTGCCAGGGGCAGAGAGAGAGAGAGAGAGAAGGAGGGGGGGGGATGGGGGGAGGCAAGAGAAAGTGGGAACATGCCCATACGCACCGACAAGCATCTCATACATAATGACACCGAGAGACCACCAGTCGCACTCTGGCCCATAGCCCTTCTGCATGAACACCTCCGGGGCAATGTAGTCCGGTGTGCCGACAGTTGAATAGGCCTGGCAGGTATGAGTGAGCCCGACAGTATGGGCAGATATGCGGTTGAGCGTGTGTGTGTGAGAGAGAGAGAGTGGGAGAGAGAGAGAGAGGAAGAGAGAGAAAAATAGACCGATGTAAAATGGACAAACAGAAAAGCGACAGGCAGGGGAGGACATTGATCCACGGCAGCACAAGTATCGGAAAATCGGGAGGGGGGGGGAGGGGGGGAAGGTGGCGCACCAGCTTGCGACGGTTGGCTTTCCAGGTGGCGATTTTATCCTTGTACGACAGGTTGATGGAGATTGGCTTCCAGTTGCTAGGCTCGACGGATTTGTCCCCAGCCAGGAGCTAAACCACAGGGACAGACTCGGCATTAGGACATGGAAGGGAAGGGAAGGGCCGGGGCGGGTGGCTGATCTGCCATAAAAACACACACACCTTCTGATAGTACGAGGAGTTGTGCATGCGATGGAAGCCGGTCGAAAGACCGAAGTCCGAGATCTTAAGATGCCCATCCTTGTCAAGAAGCAGGTTGTCGGGCTTGATGTCACTGGAGGAGGAGGAGGAGGAGGAGGAGGGCGCCATGGGCAGGTTGGTCTCAAGATCGAGGATGGAAGGTGGAAACCCCGAAGCTCAGGGAGGGCGAAGCGAAGCCCGGTGCTGTGGATAACATACCGATGGATGAAACCCGATTCGTGGATTGACTGGATGGCCAACACGGCCTCGGCAATGTGGAAACGCGCAGCATCCTCGGTGAAGGTGTCATCATGAATCAAGCGTGTCATGAGGTCCCCGCCCGGCAGGAACTCCATGATCAGGTAAAGATACCGCGTGTCCTGGAAGGAGTAGTACAGCTGGACGACCCAGTCATTGTTGGTGACGGCAAGCAGGTCACGCTCCGCACGGACATGAGCCAGCTATTGGGCCAGGTGGGAAGAGTGACGAGGCGGAGGAAAAGCCGATGAGTAACAAACGCGCCACGAGCGACTGAAGTGGGCCAGACACTCCTGGGCCTGACATACCTGGTCCTTTTGCAGCATCTCCGCCTTGCGAAGGGTCTTCATGGCGTAAATGTGCCCGGTGTCAATCTTCTGCACGAGCCGCACTTCACCGAAGGCCCCCTTGCCAATGACCTTCAAGGTCTTGAAGTCTGATGGGCTGAGTCGCACGCGGCGCAATTGCAAGAAGTCACACTCTCGACGAGTGATCTCGGCAATGCGCTTCTTCCGGCGATCTGGCGTCATAAACTCGGTTTCCAGCTGCTTGTCATATTCCTCGGTGCTGGGATCGAGAAAGGGCCAAGCAAAATGATTAGCAGCCGCAAGAAGAATCGGGAACCAAGAGAAGGACATTAGGTGGGGGGTAGATATGTGTGTGTGTGTGTGTGTGTGTGTGTGTGTGTGTGTGTGTGTGTGTGTGTGTGGGCGCGGGCGTGGGCGTAGGCGTGGGCGTGGGCGTGTGTGACAGAGGGAGGGGAGGGCAGAGAGAGAGAGAGAGAGAGAGCGTGCGTGCGTGCGCGCGTGCGTACCGCTTCTCACTCTCACGACGGAACTGCAGGGCGTCCTCGTAGAAGCGCTCGAGCTTCATGCGAGCATGCGCGGCGCGCTCAAGCACCACGCCACCGGGCGAGGAGCCGGAGGAGTGTCGAGCCGATGGGTGCATCAGGTGTGTCCCCGGGCTGGGGCTGAACTGGTCAGGGCCGAGGTGGTGCGGGGCTGCGGCCGAAGCGGAGGAGTGCATCGGCGGAAAACCGGGCTGCTGATGGTAGTGGTGCCCGTGGCTGCTGTGGGAGTGTGGATGGCCGTGGCCGTGGCCCTGCGTATGTGTGTGCGCGTGGTGGGGAGGCGCGAAATCGAAGGGAGTTTGAAAGGGCGGCGCTTGATGGCTGTTGGGCGAATGCTGCGGAGCGAAGTATCCCGCAGAACTAGGCTGGTGATGGTGATGCTGCTGCTGATGCTGCTGCTGATGCTGCTGCTGATGGTGATGCTGCTGTGAGGAATGCTGGTACGAATGCTGCGGCTGGTACGAATGCTGCGGCTGGTACGGCTGCTGCGGCTGGTACGAATGCTGCGCTTGGTACGGCTGCTGCGGCTGGTACGGCTGCTGCGGCTGGTACGAATGTTGAGATTGCGTGTGTGTCTGTGCCTGGTATGCCTGATATGGCTGGTACTGCTGCGGTGAGAGATGTTGCCCCGAATGCGATGAGGATAGGCGCTCGGAGGAAGGTGTCACACCGGGAATGGCAGTGGCAGCAGCGGAGGCCGGCGATGGGGGAGCATCAGGCTGCGGGAAGGGGGACGCAGCGTAAGAGGAATGAGCGTAGCCAAATCCCTGATGCGGATGGGACATTGCGCAAGGCCAGGGAGATTCGGATCAAGGGGAAAACAAGGCAGAAGGCGGACAGGCCCACGGCGAACAATCGGCTTCTTCGTCTTCTGGGTCCTTTCGACTGGCTCGAAGTGACACGGGCGGCGCACGAGGCGACAGACGGCGGCGTCACTCGGCGCTGAGATCGCGCCAGGGGCGGGGATGGAGAGCGCGAGGGGGGGGGGGGGGGGGGGGGGGGGGGGGGGGGGGGGGGGAGAGAGCGAAGGGAGGG